AAGTCACATTCTTTAAAAAAGTATATTTTTGCATTTTGTTATCAGCCAATTCAAATCGTATTTTCATGTGTTATCCATTGTTGTTGTAGAAATGTATAAGAAGTGTGTTTGTTTCCAACAATGAGTTAAAGTGATTCTTACAGCACTGATTTAAATAGATGGAGAAAAAGTGAGATGAATTATGGACGTGAGTTTAAAAGACCATGTCTCAAGGTTTTAAAGATGCTACTTGGCATTTTTTATATCAAATTATGCGGTTGAATATTTGATAATAAGATGAAAAGATAACTGTTACGAATGGAAATATATATGTATGAAAAAACTATACAAACTAAATATCTTAACCCAAACGTCAAATCAAAGAGATTGTGTTTTTTAAGAAAAAATATCGAAAATGTGTTGATTTTATTCTTTTCTTATATTTACAAACATTCACTTGAATTTATATTTAGTCAAATTAAAATCTATTTTAAAAATATAAAGATCATATAATTAGGTTATAACTATTTAAATACTATTTAAATGTCTATATGTTATTTCAGTACTATTTAAATAAGTGATTTTTTTTTTCGGTCAAGAAAATAAGTGATTTTCTCTATGTAGTTATTGGTAAGAATTTAATTTTAAAAACGTTTTTTATTTGTTCTAAATTTATAAAAGCAAAACAAAATTAATTAGTTTTTCATTACAATAAAGTAAAATGACACATGTTACAAATTTAATTGATAACTTGAGTTTAGAAGAAACTTTAAAATATTATATAAGATAGTTTTTATAGTTAACACGACATAAAATAATACATGATTTAACACTTCTTTTTTTTTAATCGTCGGATAGCTTTATTAAAGAAACATAGCATGAAGTTCAAAAATCCATCGAAACAGAGCCAAAAACATAAAAATCGAAACCAAACAATCATCATCAACACCCAATGACAAGGGCCAAAGTTAAACTCTTGCTCTCGAGCAATTTTTTCATGTAACCAAGTTGGTCTTCCACTAGCTAAGTATGAGTTAAAACGTCCATCTCGAAGAACACTCTGAGATATAGCTCGAGCAATAGGATTAGCTCCCACCAATTCCGACTCAAAGGAACACGCTTCAAAATACGGCTGAGCCATGCCAATTTGAGCCAATAGCACTCTATATCTAGGCCAATTCGTTGGATTGTTCAGAGCTTCAAAGACCTGTAGACAATCAAGACCAATCACTACATCCCATATTCTCAATTCATGTAAACTTTGCAGAGTCCACAAAACACACCGGAGTTCAGAAACAATACGATTGAGAGAGCAAGTGAAAGCCTCTCTCGCATGAAACCAAACCTCTCATGCATGATCCCGAATGATCCAAGCACCACCACTATGCAAGGAAGCACTTCTCCAATTTGAATTCAGATTACATTTAAGACTTTCCTGTAGAGGCGGATACCAACGAGAATCTCTAGACTGATGCATTGCTACATTTTTATTCGCCTCATCACACCTATGATGAACCTCCTGCCACAAAGTAGCCTCTTCAAGAGCATGTTCTATATCACTACTCTACGCAATATGTTTGTGAGCGTAAAGAGTTGAGTTCCGATTCTTCCAAACATTCCATAAGATCCAAGGAATAGATGTTTTAATCTTGTATGTTAACCCTAGACACATGACATATTATCCTCAAAAACCGAAGAAAAACCAGTAACAGGGTTAGGTACTTATGCAATGTTCCATAATTGTTAAGCCACACTACATGATTTAATAGTTAATACAACAATAGTTTTTGCAATCAATCACCATTCGTCCATAAATTAGTCCATACATGAGATGCTGGCTGCATATAGTAACTGACTTAGAAATTATTTTTATTCGGTACAAAATTAAAAAATTATTAAATAACACCACATAAAATATTACATTAAGACGAACACTATAAAAATCTTTAGATAATTACGCTAATTAAAA